TAATGCTGTACCAGCTTCTCCTGCACATGGAGTTGTCTCCGTGCGAGAAGACCTGCATACCAGCGAAACTCTCAACCAGTACTTTCAACATTATCTTACAAGGTGGACACTGGTTCAAAGTGCGATGTAGAACACAATAGAATAGAATCAAATTTGTTAGATTTATTCGTAAATTGAACAATGAAGATTTAAAAAAAAATACTGTAATGATTTCTTATACATTTACGGAAATAAAAATAATTATGTGAATTTTATTAATATATGGTGTAAAGAACGGTAATAAACGTTATAAAATCAGTATATATTGTTTTATTAAAGAACAATGGCCAAATTTCTATAGGAGCTGGACTTGACTTTTATTTTTCATGTCCAAAACAAATTATAGCTAGATTGTTTTATTTTTATATTGTAAACACCATCCCGTTTACAATCATATCTAAATAGCCACAATGTTTTATAATAACGTCAACAATACTTTTGAGGTTAGAATAAACAACTACCTTTTATCCGACTGCGATTGCCTAAAAGTGTAGTAACCGAGGAGGGTAATTAGCAATCTTGTTTCCATTTATTTCGATTTCTTTCAGATCACAACAGATCATTATCATCAGTATCACAATCCACAACGAGTGAAGCAAATAAGATGATGCGAATGATTGCCGCGTGACAATAAATAGCGTCGACCGATGACCACAGATTATGTAACTTGTCGATGACAAATGACGTTCCGTTGTTCGTGATTGATCAAAACGCTTAGTTTACTATGGAGCTACATAATTATTTTTATGACATGAATCCAGTACATAATAAATCTGTATAGTAGTTGATTTCATGCCTACATACTGACTGAATTGAATTACAATTAATAACTATTCAGAAAAACGTGAATAATTATAGTGTTTGAATACAAAGTCCTTTCATACAAAATGGATCGTCATTACGTGCGTTCCAGTACGTTCTGAACCATTATTTTAAATAATTTGGGAACAGTTACAAAAACAAAAATAAATGGATAACTTTTTATTGTGGCTACTTAGAGAGGTATTTTTTGTGTTTTTAAGACCTTAAAAAATAAGGTTTTTTTTTCATAAATATAGCATTTAGTGACGCCATCGTTTCGTGGTCTGGTACGATTTGACCAACCTTCTTTAAATCTTGTACACTAAGCGGCACGGAATGTGGCCCAAACGCACTCTGAGGGTTATTTTCAAAATGAACCGCGATACGGTTACTTTTTGTCTTTGAAAATTTTTATTGTTTATTTAAATCTTAAATGCAAATAATTAATAAGCAAAAAATGAGGTAACTTCATATTTTTTTATTAAATAAAAAAAAGACATGAAGCACTAAGTTTAACAAAAAGTTAATAATGAATGTTACAAATTAAAGCCAATAGTTACTAACGTCAGTAGCGGGTATTTCCACCTCTGGCCCTTTTTTTTTTTTTTTTTGCGGATGGAAAATCATCAAATGACGCCTTTCGCTCTGGGTGGAGCGGAAGGGAGTGTCAGACTTTTACTGACTAAAAACCATCCGTGTTCCTTCAGTGCCCTTACGTTCCGGAGCCGCGGTATCTCTTTCGAACAGCCCGCAGCCCCGGCAGGCGGCGGCCCTTGCGGGCCCCTTCACGCTGCTGACAGCTCTTTGAGGCGCGCGTGGAACAAAACGCGCCGTCGACACGGCCTGTCGTCGTTAGACGGACGGACGGCGAGCTACCCATTGCTCGCCGTCCACAGGCCCGCGCCTACGGTGGCCGGGGGCCACGACGTAGCCCCCGACGCCCGGGGCGTCTCCCGCGGCGGCCGGGAAGGAAAGCTGCTGCTTTTTCCTTCTCCCGCTCCGCCACCTCCTTCGCTAGCATCACTGCTTCGCAGAAGGTGGTGACGGCATCCCATTCCGTCTCGCTCCGGACCATGGCTTCGACCAGGGCCGGACGCGAGAGGTCGCCGCCGCCTATCGCCGCTACGAGGACACGGCGGTGCTCCGCCCAGGCAGGGCACACCTCCACGGTGTGCTCCACCGTGTCCTCCGGTCGATCCTCGCAGTGGGAGCACCCGGGCGTTTCCTCCCGCCCGATTCGGTGCAGGAACCTCCCGAACACACCGTGTCCGGTCCACCTCTGGCCCTGATAACCGCCTTCATACGATCAGGCATGCTGTGGATAATGTTTTTGATATTCACTTGGGGTATTTCTTCCCAGGCGGCCACCAGAGCGGTTTTCAAAGCACTGAGATTCTCTGGAGGGTTGGAATTGGATCGGGTGTGACGTTTAAGCATGTCCCAGACATGTTCTATGGGATTCATGTCTGGGCTTTGTGCTGGCCACTCCAATTTAAAAATTCTCACCACCGAAAGATAATCATTAACGCATCGTGCGGTATGTGGTCGGGCGTTATCTTACATTAACTTGAATTCTTCGCCCCCAATGAATTCCACATAGGGTAAAACATGATCTTGGAGGATCTCTTCAATGTACCGCACTGCCGTTAAACGACCTTCAACTACCACTAACTCTGTACCTGCATCTGTACTGATCCCTCCCCAAACCATTACAGATCCACCATTAAAACTTACGGTTTGACTGGTGGTGATTGGTAGAAAACTCTCTCCACGCTTTCTCCACACACGTTCACGGCCATCTGGAGCTCTTAAGGCTACACTGCATTCGTCAGTCCACATAGCTTTACTCCACTGCTCATGAGTCCAAATTGCATGCTCGCGAGCAAACCGAGGTCGAGCTACGCGATGATGCCGGAGCAGCTCTGGACCTCGTGCTGGTCTTCGAGAACAAAGGTCCCGTTCCTCCATTCTCCTTCTTATCGTCCGCTCACTATAGTTGACCCCTCTTGCCGTTTGTAGACGCTGCCTTATTTCAACCGCAGTAAAGAACCGATTTCTCAAAATTGCGATGGTGATAAATCGGTCATCCTGTGCTCATGTACACCTGATTCTGCCACTTCCTGGTCTCCTCGTGTACAGACTGGTCTGATCGTACCTTTTTAAGGCGTATCTAAGGGTTGTACGCGGTACATTTAAAAATACAGCAATCATTCGCTGCGTTCGCCCTTGACTCCGAAGCAACACAGCTTGAGCAACTTGAGCTAGAGTTACAGTCATTATGTTCCGATTATGAAAGCAAGAAAAGACTACACATTAACTGAAAAACAAAACCAAAAGAAGATTCACCAACAATAAAATTTGCCATGATTTAAACATTAAAGTTTAACTTACCTGTGTTTCGTGCGTTCTAGCGGCAAACTAACGCTAAAAGTCACAAAAATTAAACAATGTTTTTTTTCATACTTACCCTCTTAAATCAACAAAAACAAACGTGTTGACAATGTGCCACTTGAAATTCTTATTCACTTAACCAAAATCGGCTGTTATCGGTTTGTTTATGTTTGGGCCACATTCCGTGCCGCTAAGCATGTTCAGCAGTGGACTTTTGAAGAGCTGTAATGATAATGATGATGATCAGAACAACAGATTTACATTTCAATAACTATCTATGATTTTTTTTACGTGGTAGAGCTACACTGCAGCTGGTAGAGCAATGTTATGGTTGTAGCAGGGTAGCATAAATGGGTCAGCTTGACCGGGGAACTACACTATAACAGAATAACAACGTAAAATAGCAGCTTAATGCTGCTGTGTTTCGTATGGGGAGTGTAGAGAACTGGAGAGCCTTATTACTAGAAACAAGGCATTTCATCTTAGTCTTCAGGGGTGACAACACATCTGCATTTTGATTCGTTATTGATTATTAATGAAGATGTCTATGATCTATGGACCACAGTATCCACTTATCATCGGATAGACTGCGTGCTCTTTTGCAACCCTTATTCTATAAAAAAAACTTACTCGAACACTTTTTTCTCGTTTTCAATAAGGCAAAATTTCTCGAGAATTCCCACTTCCAGAAACCTTGCTGAGAATACTACTACCGGCACTCGCAAAGTAAACATTTCACGTACATTGTCCGTAAATAATTATTCAAAAGTGGTGTCTAAGTGCTCTGATGTGTTTGTGACGTGTACCGGGATAAAGCTCGTTAAGTGACCTATTTCTTGGTATAATAACATCGCATAATTATCAAAGAATACAATGAGTAATAAACTAATCCGTTAAATTATAATTTTTGCACACGACACTACCCTGACCTACGACAACCCGCAGAGTGCCCGCTGTTGTGACGTAGCTACTGTGTTGTTGTGACTACTGGCCGCTCCTTGTCAATCGACCGCCACAGCCGTATCGCTCCTGCGTTGCGTTGCTTTGCTTTTATATTATGTAAGGCGCTGAGAAACTTTAACAAGCACCGATATGGATGTTAACGTTATTTGTGGCGGCTGTAAGATGATTGTTAAGGATAAATACTTCATAAGCTGTCATGGATGCAAGCAGATGTATGACCTTGAGTGTGCAAGTCTCTCGCCGAAACGACTGAATAAGATGAATGCTGAGAATAAACGCAAATGGCGATGCTTGGAATGCAAAAGTAAGAAACCAAAATCAGATAACACTAAAGTGGGTGATAGACGTACGAACTTAAAGTAGGCGGTTTTTAAGATCGCGAACTTACTTGGCTCCACGTCGGCGACACACGCGCCAACTTACTCATACCGTATCGCGATGTCGTCCACTGAAGAAGCTTTGTGTTATTTAGGAATTATATCGTATTACATTTCAAAAACTAAAATCAATAGACGAAGGCGAAAAGTGTGGGTTAAGAACTGGCTTACAAAAAGAGAGCGTTTATCACATGTGAATTTAGTAAGAGAATTACGTGAAGAGAAGGAAGATTTCCAGAATTATTTCAGAATGCCTGAGCCTGTGTATGAAGAACTTTTGTGTTTAGTCACAACAATCATAGCTAAACAGGATACTTGCATGAGAGAAGCTATTTCACCGCATGAACGTTTAAGTGCAACATTACGATTTTTGATAACTGGTGGAACATATAAAGATGTAATGTATTCGTCAGCGATATAAGACAGTCATTGGGGTACATAATTCCTGAGACATGTGACGCAATCTACTCTGCACTGAAAACATATTTGAAGGTATGTATCATTTATTACATACTTTATAAACAAAATAACTCAGTACAAATAATCAGACTTTATTTTGCAATGGCACATTAACATTAATGCTTAACAAATAAATTTACTCTTGAACATATACAAATGTAACGTACTATTTTATTTATTTTTAGTTATTATTATTAAAGTTTAAATATTCAACCAGGGTGTCCGGGATAATAATAGTTTGCGAGTCTTGTGTCAAGTTAAATGCTTGTGTTTCTTGCAGCTGGACTGGAACAGCTGGCATGTGTATCAATGGTCTTTGGGGTACCTGGACTGGAACTGGATTATGTATACTTGTATTGAATGTTAATTTTTCAAACCGTCCCAAAAAAATAACTTCATCGATGAGCTTTTCAGCTATGCCTTGTTGAATAGCAGTCATGTTGCGGAGTTTAATTGCGACATTTTTTCCTATAGCATCATATTCATCATCTGGGTTTTGTAATCTTTTACCTATTAACGATATTGTGTCTTCAATGGCGGCATTGCCGTGTCGCTTACGACGTGCAGATGAAGCAACAGATGTTGCAGGTGTCACAGGTGATGACACGTTGCAAATGGTACTCTGTAAATAAAAATAATATCATTTATACTGAATTATGGTTTTTTTTGTTACAGTTCCCGAGTTCAGAAGAAGAATGGCTAGCAATTGCTGAAGAGTTTGAGCGTACATGGCAATTTCCAAATTGTTTAGGAGCCGTCGATGGGAAACATGTAGCTATAGTCCCTCCTGCCGGAGCCGGCTCACATTTTTTTAATTATAAAGGGTATCACAGTATTGTACTTATGGGAATTGCAAATGCAAATTATGAATTTATTTATGTAGATATTGGAACAAATGGACGTATTTCTGATGGAGCATAGAGCACGCCCAGTAATCGTCAGATTCAGACAGCGCTATATTAAGGACCGAGTGATCGCTGCAGCACGTAAACATCGCAACATGACCACCAGAGATATCGGGATGGGAGGTGAAGAGAGCAGAATCTATATCAATGAACATCTCATTAAAGAAAATAAAATGTTGTTGGGTTCTTGTAAGCAAAAAGCAAGAAAGACAGGTTACAAGTATGTGTCGACAAAAAACTGCCGAATTTATGTCAGAAGAAACGACACCTCGACTTCATTTGCGTTAGACTCGACGAGCGATCTTGGAAAGATATTGTAATTAATTGCCTTGCTTTCTACTCTTACACTTCTCACACTTCTTATTATATTCCGGTGGTCACTCTAACACACAGCATACACAAATACACATACATTATAAAATCTACTTACACTCATATTCACATTATACACTTTTTTTTTATAGGAGAGGGGGCAAACGAGCATGCGGCTCACCTGATGGTAAGTGACTACCGCCGCCCATGAACAACTGCAACACCAGGGGAATCGCAGATGCGTTGCCGGCCTTTTAAAAAGGAGTACGCTCTTTTCTTGAAGGTCCCTAAGTCGTATCGGTCCGGAAAAATCGCTGATGGTAATCGATTCCACAAGGAGGTCGTGCGAGGAAGAAAACATCTTCTAAATCGCACAGTGGTGGACCGCCAATCATCCAGATCGTGTGGATGGTATCGGGAGTTCTACCGCGATGTGCGTTCGTGAAATTTGGCGGCTAGGATTAATCCGAACAATTCCTCAGAGCACTCCCCATGGTAAATGCGAAAGAAAATGCAAAGGGATGCAACATCTCTTCGCAGTGCCAATGAATCGAGCCGATCGGAAAGGGCTCGGTCGTCGACGATTCGAGCCGCTCTGCGTTGGATGCGGTCAAGTGGAAGGAGCTGGCACTGGGGAGCCCCTGCCCAGAGATGGGAACAGTATTCCATGTGAGGCCGAACTTGCGCCTTGTAAAGTTGCAGGCGGTGTGCCGGCATGAAATACTGTCTTGCTCTGCTGAGCACGCCAAGCTTTTTAGAGGCCAATTTGGCCTTCCCTTCCAAGTGACCACGAAACTGCACGTCACTCGATATGTCGACTCCGAGGATACCGATACTGGCTGAGGCAAGAAGGGGAGTGCCTTGAAACTGAGGAGATACGACAAAGGGGTTCTTTTTAGCGGTAAACGCGCAAACTTGTGTCTTCTGAGGATTAAACTGGACTAGATTTAGTTGCCCCCAATCCGAGACTTTGCACAGCAAAGACTCGACTTCAGACACAAGTTTGTTCCGGTACTCAGCGACGTTTTCCCGAGAAATATTGGCACGGCCGGTGTATAGAGCATCACCAGTACTGTCATCCTCATAGCAATGAATGTTACCAGTTAGCAACATATCATTGATATGCAGAAGAAACAGCGTTGGTGAGAGCACACTGCCTTGTGGAACACCAGCGTTAATAGGCTTGTAGTCAGAGCACCGTCTACAACGACCTTGATGCTCCGATCTGCAAGGAAGCTGGTGATCCAATTGCACAATTTCTCGGGAAGCCCATAGGAAGGGAGCTTCGAAAGAAGCGTTTTGTGCCAAACCCGATCGAAGGCCTTCGCAATGTCCAGACTAACGGCCAACGCCTCCCCCTTGGACTCTACTGCCTCCGCCCATCTATGGGTCAGGTAGACCAGAAGATCACCAGCTGATCGACCCCGACGAAAACCGTATTGGCGGTCACTAATCAGCTGGTGATCCTCAAGGTACCGGATGAGCTGGCAGTTAATAATGGATTCCATTATTTTGGAGAACAAGGAGGTGATCGCGATAGGCCTATAGTTGAACCGGTCTGAGCGGTCGCCTTTTTTAGGGATCGGGTGGACAAAAGCTGTCTTCCATGAATTCGGGACTACGCCTTGGGAGTAGGAGTACCGGAAAAGACGCGTTAGGACCGGTGCCAACTCCGGAGCACACGTCCTCAGCACAATTGGGGGGATTCCGTCAGGCCCACTCGACTTCTGGATGTCCAGGGAGAGCAGTGCTTTGCGAACCGAACGCTGTGAGAACAGCACATCCGGCATGGAGCACTCACACCGCGGGATCGTCGGCGGTGTTTTCCCCCCGTCATCAAGAGTCGAGTTGGACGCAAAAAGGGAGCCTAAAAGGTCGGCTTTGTCTTTTACGTCATGGGCCAGTGAGTCATCCTCCCTGTGCAGAGATGGTAGTGATGGCTTACAGAAATTCCCTTGGACAGCCTTGGCGAGAGACTAGAATGCACGGGTTCCCGAAGGAAGGCGAACTAGTTTCTCGCCAATTCTGCCTATGTGCTCTGACTTTGCCTTGGCAATAACTCTTTTGAAGGACCTGGAGGCGAAGTTATACTTCTTTTTAAGTGTGCTGGTGTTTACATCCCGAGTCGCCGAAGCCGCAGCCCAGGCTTAATAACACTCCTGCTTACTGCGTAATGCAGTCTTACAGGAGCGACCAAACCAAGGCTGATATCTGCCTCCGATGGGTACCACAGATGATGGAATAAATAGTTCCATTCCCTGTAGCACCACATCAGTGACAGAGTCAGCAACAGCGCTGGGATCGTCCGGCGAGAAGCAAACCCGCCCCCATGGGTAGGATGCAAAGAAAGACCGCATTGCGTCCCTATCCACCGACCTGTAATGCCAAACACGGCGGCAACCTGCAGAACGCAACCGCGAAGGAAGCGTGAGTGGCACCACACTCCGGATCAGACAATGGTCCGAAGATCAGAGAGGGGCATCGACGGAAACCTGATATCCGTCCGGATGAGAGGTCAGCAGAAGGTCCAACAGGGAAGGTGTATGATCCTCCACATCTGGAATCCGCGTAGGCGAAGTAACCAGTTGTGTCAGACCATATGCCAAGGCAAAGTCATAAACAGATCTCCCCGCATGATCGGTTAGACTTGAACCGAGCCATTCGGCATGGTGGGCGTTAAAATCGCCAAGGATCACGATCTCTGCGGATGGGACCTGTTGTAGCAAGGAATCTGTAGCCATTTGGACGTGGTCGATGAGTCGGTCTGTTTCGGCATTACCGCTATGGGACCTATAGAGGCACCCGTAGACGCGGATGGTCGTCGCTGTCTACGCGTAGCCAAAGGATGGACAGGTCCGAACCTTCAAGACTGCCGAGGCGTCGAGAACAGATGTCCTCTCTTACATACACGCAAACTCCAGCCCGAGACACAAAGGAATGCTCCAATTTGTACCCCGGGTAGGAGAGATACGAAATATCAGCCGGAGAGGAAACCTGCGTCTCGGTCAGAAAAAGCAAGGCCGGCTTCGCCGTCTCGAGATGGTAGTGGACGGCGTTTAGGTTAGAGTGAAGTCCCCTGATGTTGCAGAAATTCACGGATAGCGTGGCAGGGTTCGCCTTGGTGTTCTTGCTCAGTTTTCCCCTAGCAGTTATGCTTTTGAGCGGAATTTCGCCCCCCCCCAGAATACGCGGGGCAGCCTGAGCACCCACGCTCAGGATCGGAATAACATGGTCGTGGATGCTCAGCGAGGGATTCTCCAGGGGTACTGGTACCCTCCTGGGGTAGTTCATCGTGTAATTCCGCTACCATGTTGATGGGGGGGGGGGGGAATTGGGCCTCCGGCCACCTGCACTCACCAGACGAAACGCAGAAGCGAGCTTCTACTTCACGCCGGTATTCTGTGAGGTCGTGGTACCAACCCGGCTCGAGCCGGCCCATACATGCAACAGCAAAAACTGCTGCGTGGCTCTACCACAGTTAAACACACTGCATATACACATCACGTACCTTAGAAACAATTGCATATTATCCTAACCTCTTATCCTTACTGCATGTACGAATACATCCAATGCTCATTAACATATATGTCACTCAAACTCTGCGTAATACCTACTCACTATTTAAACCATTCGTTTATCATTGTGCGGTTCAATTGATTTCGACCGTCCGTTTAACCAACTGCAATTATATATGTCTTGTCTATATTTTTTAACACACTCAATTTAATCAAGATGAATAACAATAATATGAAGAAAATTAAGCTATTCTATCAAAACGTGAGAGGACAACGAACCAAAACCGATGATTTTTTTAAAAACTTGTTACTGCAGGACTCCGATATAATTATGATAACTGAAAAATGGCTCTGCGATAGCATTTTTGATGCTGAGCTGTGTGATGACAGATTTACAGTCTTTCGTACGGACAGAGGGTCATTGGGGGGTGGTGTAATGATTATGTTTGCTTCGAATTTACAGGCACGCGCCAGATCAGAATGGCATTGTAGAGGCCTGGAGTCTGTGTGGGTAACTATTTCTGCTAAAGCTATCAAAGCCAGGCATAATTTGCATATTGCTACAGTGTACATCCCACCCAATGATCAAATTCCATCAAGATTGGACATATTTATGAATCAACTCTCTGAAATCAAAAGCCAAAACTGCAATGATCACTTTATAATTGCGGGCGACTTTAACCTTCCTATCATTGACTGGCAATATGGGGAACCAATAATTCTGAGGAATGGCTCCGTCGAGCTTCAGAATGCTGCATCGAGTTTTGTTACTCAGTCTTCCTTTCTTGGCTTGTCACAGTTTAACAATTACACTAATAACTGTAACAATACATTGGATCTAATTTTCTCTGATTCGTCCGTCACCATAAAGAAATCTACGATGCCTTTAGTAAAGGAAGATCCTCTACATCCGACTCTTTCTATTGTAGCTTCCGATATTCTAGTCCCTCCAATTAAACCTCAATCTCGCACTAAATATCTATATAAACGAGCTGACTTTGATAGTATCAACGAATCGTTTAGAAATCAGGACTGGAGTTTTTTACTCGAAAATAGTAACATAGAGTACATATTAACAAAATTAACTCGATTTTAAATAATAAAATACAAACCTTCGTACCACAAGTTCGTTGCTCAAGTACCTACATTTACCCAGTTTGATATAATATAGCGTTAATAAAACTAATTA